AGATATACTCTTCTAATTGCTTCAACAAATGTCATTGAAGAACCACTAAACCTTTAGTGAATTCAATGAATTCTGCGTCGAATTTCTCAGCACTCTTAAATAGTTTACATGGACGTCAAACTCGTCAATCTTACGAGGTCTAAAAAAGTCAGCCAAAAATTTCTTCGGTAAGAAGTTTGAAATCTGAAGAAGTCCGCGAGAAATCTCTTTCTTATATAATTGAGCGTTTCAACAAATATCTTCGATAACTACTTTCTTCTCCTTGTAATTCTGCAAGTTCTGCATCGAATTCCCTAACATATTTTTTTGTAACATAAAATTCTCATCACTCGTTGTCCTGCATTTATCAACTCCGTGTAAAGAGGTATACTTTTCTTAGTGCTTCAACAAATATCATTGAAGGACTGCTTAACGCTTTAAGAATTCAGTGAATTCTGTGTTGAATTCCTCAACACTCTCAAAGCGTTTATCGGGATGTCAATTTCCTCAGTCTCAGAAAGTCTGAATAAGTCAGCCATAAACTTATTCGCTGAAACCTTCTGAGGACAAAGCGAATTCAGTACATGAGCCCCTTCATGACAATATCGGATGTCGAGAAGGAGGAGGGCGGTAACAATTTTGTTGTTTGATAATCCAAATATGTCGTGGAAAGGAGTTGGAGAAGGCTAAGGATTTGAGTAAAGGTCTCAAGTAGTACGCGACAATTTTTTTTCTCCATGATCCAAGGAAGGGATGAAAGTGATCAGTAGATGACGTGAGACAAAAAAGTTAATAATTGCGAAGCGGAGAATACATGAGAAACCCTTACGACAATGTAAAGCGGAAGTCGATCACAAAGAGTGAAGAGAGAATACAACGAGAATGAAATTTTACAAATTGTCCATCAAATTCCCTAACACCTTTTGTTGTAACATCAAATTATCATCACTCGTCATCCTGCATTTATTAATTCCGCGTAAAAAAGTCCACTTTTCTTAGTGCTTCAACAAATATCATTGAAGAACTACTAACGCTTTATAAATTGAGTTTTATGTTGAATTCCTCAACACTCTCAAAGTCAAGCTCATATTATTCGAGCAGAGAAAGAGAGAGGGTCACCAGGGTTCGACACATTAGCCTTACACGAAACTAGCATCTCTTGGCCAACATTACAAACCCTTGAGAACGCTGCCCGAACTCAAAGGAGCATTTCCATTGAGCAAAATCCGGCAACTTTCCAAACATGGCCGGTGCAAATCTGCTTGATGTTTTCCAAAATGTGAACGATATCATCTTCTGGAAAATATTTCTTGTCCCCTGCCGACATTGGCAGATTGAACCCGTAGGAGAAGTCACAGATTGCGAATGAGAAGGGCAATGACTCTTGATGATTCGCCAGTTTCAACATATCAGCCTCAATGACCTTCACATTACCGCAACTTCCTTGTGCTTCACCTCTATCCAGTCCGAGAAATGAGGTGTCGCCTGCTCTTGAATAAGCATTTTCTCGTTCGCTCTTTCAGATCCAGCCTGCCGCTTGTCCCGGATTTACTTCCATTATAGTGCACACTTCACGTATGAAGTGAGCTCTTTTGACAAATTTGAGTGCTTGTCAAATTTCGCAGCAAAAGGCTCAAGTACCCCCTTGGTCGTGTGGACCGAAACATCTTCGTGCACTCCTTCCACATCCTTGTCTTTGTTTGATTGATGAAGTAGCTAGCCACACGAGCAAAGTGCTTTGCCACCATAAATTTAGAGACCATGTCTTCGAGCGAGAGCTGCTTTGACGCCATTTGCTGAAGGATGGGGATAATAATGTCATTATCTAAAACACCCATCTCAATCCAAGGCGCTTGAGGCATGTCCGTAGGCTCTGGAACAATGTTGTTGTCTTTGACAAAAGTTCTACGAGCTAGGAACAAGAGCCTCAACTGACTTTCCACCTTTCCTGTTGCATTTTTTGTGTGTTACTTCAGACTCTACTCAAACGACGCCTTCGGCGCCTTCGGTCGGGGACCCGGCTCTTGCGAGTCCTTTGGCACGCGTTCCCGGGTTTTGAGTTAGTAAATGTTAATTACCCCCCCACCAATAAATAGATACAAATAGAAGGTCAGCGACCTTTCAATCTTGGTCCTGGCTAAGTTCAAAGTTAATTGTTTGAGTGGTTTTCCTTTCCAGCAACTGTTTTTCGTACAGCTTCGCTCTCGAATCATTTTTGTGTTTTTTTTGCTTTGCTTTTCCAAACGGGTTTCGTAAGATAAAGTTAACTTCAATTGAAGGTCAAATAACTCATGGAGTTTCATATAATGCAACTTTTATTGTATTAATTGTTTTGTTTCGGTCTGATATGTTACGATTATTTCAAACAAGAAACTTTGAATGCTTTTGAATCTATGGTGTTAATTCTACTCTCTACTGTGACTAGAAAGTCAGACAACGAAATTACCTTTGGTGAAAACAATGAGCGCTCTTGCGCCTCATGTCACCATGCGGATTGTTATTTGTGCGGCTGTGAAAGGTTATTTAGATTAAATTCAGATTTATCAAATTCTTCAATATGAACAAGAGTTGTTGCAAACTTAGGTCTTTGAGAAAAACAATGTATCGGTTGGGCAAGGATCTCAAGTGTCCAGAAACGGGTACAACGTTCTATAAACCTAGCAATTATTATCGATCAATCGTCGCGTCTCTATGTTGTTGGAAACGATCGGACGTGAACCGATAACTTCATACTTGCAAAACATGCGTTCTACCACTTGAACTATGCCCTCGATGGAACGGAGGAAATGAATTTGAACCCATGATACAATCTTGTTGTGTGTTGATTTAGCAAACCAATGCCTTCAGCTACTCAGCCATACCTCTCGGGGAGCAATACGACAAGTACGAAGTGGCAGACGCAAACTTTCGACGTCTTAGCTATGTGCGATACACAGATGACTTTGTGATAGGCATTACCGACCCTCTTCCTTACGCAATTAAGATATGTGCTCTTAAATCGACCTTAAGGGTTATTGCTTATTCTACTTGTACCAATTAGGTTATATGGTATCAGCTTGTGGTATCTCCAATTATTTTGTGAGTTTATTTCATCTGATGAACCACGCTCTTTTTAAAGCATTACTTTTTTTTAGTGCAGGTTTTGTGTGATCTTTCAGCTTCCCACATTCCTTGATTTCACGCGCTGCCGCAACTTTTTTTTTTTTGAGTTTCGGATACACATAAAAAATAAAAAGTACTGGCAATGTATCCTGCATAAATACAAGGAGGATGTATAGCCAATACGGGGTCTTGTAGTACAGGGTTATCCTCCACAAAAAAATCAAAATCGGCGCAATGTTTTGTAACTGGAAGATCGAAAGCTTATTATAGAGACTTCGGAATATCTCGTCATACATTTCGGGAGATGGCTCCTGCTTTCTGAGGTAGCATAGTCAATGTCGCCCTTCCGCAGTTTGGACTTTTTCGTTGAAGGGACCTTCATCTTTTGGTCCAGACACTCCCCCTTCCCCCAAAGTTCAAAAATCTTGAGTTGCAGTTCCCAAACCTCTTTGGAGTGCATTCCGACCTGCAGCAACGGATTAGTTCTCTGGAGCAACTTCTTTTCAGGTCTAAGTCCGAGCTCCTTCAAACAAGCTTGCTTTGTGTCCGCCGTCTTTTTGAAACCCTTCTCTACGAACACTTGCCGCCAACACTTGAACTTCTCAACCAAGGAGAAGTTTTGTGGAACCAACAATGTTTTTTTTTTTTTTTTTTTTTTTTTTTTTAGGGACTTACTCATACACAACTTGTCTTACAATGCAGAAAAGTCTTGCACGGAAAGACACAGGGAAAGGCACACCATTCGGTCAGTTATGACCTTCAAGGCCTTGCTGGGGAATGGGCAGGGAAAAGAGTCTCATGTGCGTAAACTATATTCCTTTGCGAATTTTTTCTAACATGTGCACATTATGATAAGGCTTTGACTTGCGTTGTGGCGTAGTTACTCGTTTCCGTTTGGAAGCATCGTATGGCGTGTACTATTGCACAGCGTATTGCTTCAAAACATACTTCAAAACTGATGGCATCACAAGAAATCAATCCACGTTGGCTTTCTCGGCGATCCGCTTCCATGTGGAGGGTTGCTGCAGACTACTCGGGAGTCGACAGATGATGTGCACCGCTTCCGCAGTCTTCAGATGTACATTCATTAAGAGCCATCTCCTGATCGTGCAGTGTGCGGTCTGCACGTCATTGATGACGTCGACTTTGTTCATGCCTTCATTGAACTCGGGCTCATATATGCGAGAACCAATTTCTTCTATTTGCTTTTTCCGACAATTTCCCCAAGCTTTGTCATCCGCTTTGAGATTGCACATGCCGCTCGCGCTGTTCATTCCCGATGTGTTTGCTGGCCACCCCTTGCTGCAGGAGGACGGGAGATCACCATAATCTTCCATTTGTAACCATTATTCATACCCCATTCGTCTTTGTCCTCTTCGATATAAGCTAACAACAGAAAAATTTTCCAAAATTGAATAATCATTCTATAGTAGAATTGCATTCTAAATTTAAATTTTTCATTCAATCTTAAAAAATATCATTCAAATTTTTAAATTTTTGTTTTTGCTTTAAAACTTTTCTTCCAAGAATGGGGTATCCCTTCTTATTTGAACTGCATGCTAAAGATCGAATGGAAGTCTGGATGAGTTCATGAAATATTTTGATCGGACTTTCATTCTAAGTAAGGATTTTCAGTCATAAACAGGTTAATCCAATATAAATTAGAAGATATTTGTTGTAATAGGATGAAAGTTTAATTAAAATATTTCATAAAGTCGTCCAGACTTTCATTCCATCTTGAACAAATAGATGTAGTTGAAAGGGAATGCTCATATTTAGACGGGAATTTATCAAATAAAACTGTAAATTTTAGAGTTGAACGAACATTGAAATGATAATTCATAAATATGAAGGATTTTTTTTTTTATGGAATGTTTTTTCAACTTTCATTTCTCGTGGAAATTTTTCTATTGAAGTCATCAAAGTCACACTCTTTATCCACATCTAAGCAATAATCGTCTTCGAGGTCGAAAGGAGATGCGACAATGAGGAGTCAATCACGCCTTCCTTTGGAAAGACCTCTGAATCTCTTCAAGTGGGCTATGCAGAGTTCTTTCCAAAGATCACCATCCACCCTCTCATGCTATGCGAGCTCACCACAAAACAAAAACTTAGAATGATATTTTGATGTCCTTGTGTTAGGATTTTGTGAACAAGTTGCCGATTGCATAACGCACCTTCAAGAAGAAACCCATCAATATTCTGCACCTTTGAAAAGACATTCCAATTTTGGTCTGTTACATGGTCTGAAAAGATAATTCGTGTTGATTTCCCGGCATCTCAGGTTTTGTCTTTCTTTTCAACGAGTGCGGATGTATTGATGCTCATCCTCCACTTCCTTCACAAACTGTTGCGAGGGCTCATAAGCTACAACAAATTTGCTTTTCCACTCACCATGAAGTTTGAGAATAACAGTCCTCAACAACTACATGTCACACAAAACTCTCCCCATCTCCCGCTCCCCATCTTCTCCCTCCTTTTCTTTTCCCTCTTCTCTGTCCTCCTCTTTGTCCTCTTGTCTATCTTCCTCTCTGCCCTTCTCTCTGTCCTCATCTTTGTCCTCCTTTGTCTGCTCTTCCTCTCCCATTTCCTCTCCTTCTTCCTCCGTATTCTCTCCCTCACCCACGTCGTCTCCATGCCTTTGCCCCCCCTCCGGTATCTCCATCTCATCTTCATCCTCCTCTTCGTCCTCCTCTTCATCCTCGCTTCCATCCTCCTCGTCCTCCAACACTCCATCTTGATTCCTCTCCCCCTCTCTATCCTCTCTGTCCTCTTCCTCCTCTTCATCCTCATCATCGTCTTCCTCCTCTTCATCCCCATTGCTGCCAATGCGAAGTATTACATTTAAATCATTGTCCAATGCCTTTGACACCCTGACCGCGACGTGAGAGGCATGGTGACCCACATTATGATTTCTGCGAACAATAATGTAAGAAATCGGCCATCCTTTTAGACATCGCATACCGAGGGGTCTAGGCACACACCTCGGTGCAGGAAGTTGAACCCCGTGGTCTTAGAGGACCTTCTACTTCTGGAAAAGCAATGTCGGGGGCGATGATACTACTACATCACAGAGATCCTTGGGTATCATGTGCTAACTGCTGCTTCGACCACTTCTTTGACTGCTATTTTGATTGTCCTCTTCGTCTGCAACAGTGAGATTCTGGAATTACTAGTGGTTTAACTGAATTCCGTAGTGGATGCTTTGTTCATTAATTAGGGTGTTCTGAACTCACTTTTTAGTAGTAATGTCTTGGACGGTGGTACTTCGCGCAATCTGACATAGTTGTGAAAAAGCCTCACTGGGGCCACTATGGCCCGTAAACAAGGAGCAGGCACCCCGATAAACTTTAAGAACCCCGCCTTCGATATAACCCATCCTTCGCCACACAAGTTTGTTGAAAGTTTTCGATAACTCTTATAACGTTTTCGGTAAACTTTCAGTGAACGAGAATGAATATCCCAAAAAACATAGGAAGATGCAATTGTTTTTTGTATTTCTATTTGGTAATTCGCGTTGGGTTTTGGCTTACCCTACGATTCTGCCCCTGAACCATTGAAAGAGAGATTGACATTTCTTTTTTCAGTAGTCTCGTGAGCGTTTTCCTTCCGTCTAATCGTTTTATTATTTATCATAAAATGTAGGTGGAAAATGTCTTTTCAGGTTGACGACAGAAGAGAATGTGAAGTTGCATCCCATCTAAAGAGTTGTTAAGAAGATCCTTGATAACTATTGTCAGGGTTGTGCAAAATGAGAATTTTTGCAAAAACACTACAGGTCAAGCTTATAGTCCTATAAGCCGACCTCGCCGTTGTCTCTCCTAGAACAACGAAAGCAACAAGTACGCTATGAAGCAATAGATGTCCTTTCTGTTGTAAAACAATGTAGAAAACTTATGCAAAAATGGTTGCTCTCACAAGAAAGTGGAAACAATGTGCGAAACTTCCGTTTGTCTGTCAGTTATGTGCTTGACGTCTTGCAAGTTGAAATCAGAAGTAGATCTCGAGATGACACAAACACGGAAATCAAAAAGTCGCTAGGTTTGAAGCTGGAGTAAACATTTAGCTCTGAAGGTAGCAAAAATCTTAAAAGAGAAGTGGAACACAAAAGTACTATTTGGAATCATTGTAAACAAGGACAGCCAATGCAACCCGCAAAGATGGCTAAAATCCAAAGTGTCTCGTACTGCAAAGTGTGATGTCCACCAGAAATAATGAACATTCATGCCAAAAAAAGGCGACTGAGAAATATTTGTGAAATGTCTCACCATCCTGCCAAAAATGGCATCTCAAAACATAAAGAGGTAAGGCTCGGACAAAACAGGCCCTGCGAAATGTCTAATTTTATTGCCAAAAAGTAGTGAATGAGAAGTATGGTTTGTAACTTCTTTGGCTAATCGTTGGTTACCATACTAACTACTTTGACAAACAAACGAACATTTGAAAACCGAAGTGGAATCAAAAACTGAGCCTAGCAGTAGTTCAAAGAAAGGAAAACGAACTGTTGTAAAACCCTAAAGTAAACATTCTTGGAGACTAGCAACTCACCGAAAATTTGTCCTACCAAGAGCTTACCTACTTCTACAGCGCTAGCATTAACAATGGCAGAGGCGGGAACAACAACAGCGCCAGGAACAACAAAGCGGCGGCGACGGCAAAAGCGGCAGAAGTTGTCGCAGCATCAGTGGCAGAAGGACGAACAAAGCCAACAACAATAGTCGTGGCAACAACAACAGCAATAGCCGTTTAAGGACAACAATAGTGGCAACAGTGATAACGACAATACTAGGGGCAACAACTAAATGCAGCAACATCAGAAACAGTGGCGGCAACAAGCAGAAGAAGTGGTTCAAGGAGAGCAATAGTGGCAACGGCAGCAAGGGCAACATCTAAGTGCAGCAACATCGGCAACAGTGGCAGCAACATTGCCACACCACCACCCGATTAATGGCTTAGCGACAATAGTAGTAACAACAATAGATAAAAAAACAAGATACAGCAACCAATAAAATGAGAGTAGCAGCAACATTAGAGGCAACAACAACAGTGGATACAGGACTTAAATAGCAGCGGCAGTGGAAATAGGAATTTACAGCAGGAGTAGTGGACAGAGGACTAAAAAAACAGCGGTGGTGAATACAAACCTAAATCGCATCAGTATTGGATTTAGGTTTAAATTGCAGCACCAGTGAAAATATAACTTTATCACAGCACGGTGGATATAAGACTACAAAGCAGAATCGGTGGATGTAGGACTGTATCGCAGCACTGCTGGATTTAGGACTAAATCGCAAAAGTAGTGGATATAGGACTATATCACAACACCGGTGGAGAAAGGACTCTATCGCTGCACTGCTGGATTTAGGACTAATTGCAACAGTAGTGGATATATGACTATATCACAACACCAGTGGATATAAGACTATATCGCAGCACCAGGGGTTACAAAGACAACAAGGTTTCATCAAGCCCGATCTCAGTTGACTCTACCACCCTATCTCAGTGTTTGTTGGGGAGTTTGACACAACGCTAATCAGATGAGATGCTATGCATAAACAAGTTAGTGGGAAGTAGGTTTTATTGCCCAGTGACCCCTGAAACAAACATTGGCGCAAGCCTGAAGGCATATTCAAGATAAGATTTTTGCATTCCACCAGAGGAAGAAGAGGAAGACCAAACATGAGTAGCAACTCTGTGAAGTCAAATAGATTTATGGGAGGGATTGTACTACAGAATCTGCCCAGGTTCAGACAGAATGAAACGAGCACATGCATATCAGGATGAACCACAACATTTCTCGTTGGGGGTCGAAAATTTGATAACCCGACAATCCGAAATTTTGTGATACGGGTGAAGTCCAATCAAATTTGATAACCCGACATAATAAACTCGTTAGGTTTGAAGCTCGCGTAAACATTTAGTTCTGAAGGTAGCAAAAATCTTAAACAGATGTAATGATTAAGAAAAAAAAAACACTCAATATAGTCCGCAAAAATGGCTTAAAATCGAAAGTGTCTCGTAGTGCAAAGTGTGATGTCAACCAGGAACAATGTATTGTCCTGTCAAAAAGAGGCGACTGAGAAGTATCTGTGAAATGTCTCACTATCCTGCCAAAAAGTGGCATCTCAAAACAGAAAGAGGCAAAGGTCGGATTAAACTGACCCTGTGAAATGTCTCATTATCCTACCAAAAAGTAACAACTGAGAAAGATGTTTTGTAACTTCTAAGGTTAATCGTTGGTTATCATATAACTACTTTGACAAACAGACGAACATATGAAAACCGAAGGAGAATAAAAAAATGGGTCTGATAGTAGTTCACATAAAGGAAAACATACTGTCAACCCGTGAAGTAAACACTCTTCGACACTAGCAACTCACCGAAAATTTATCCTAAACTGATGCAGATTTTGGACTGGACAAAAGCAGAGGCAAAAACAACCACGTTGCGACAGCAGCAAAACCGGCAGAGGTCGTAGCAGCATAAGTGGCAGAAGGACGAGCAAAGCCAACAACAGCAGTAGTGGCCGTTTAAGGACATCAACAGTGACATTAGCAGCACTAGGGACAACAACTAAGAGCAGCAACATCAACAACAGTGGAGGCAGCAGCAAGGGACAACAGTGACAGCAACAGTGGCAACAACAACAATGTGCAACATCTTAGCGCAACAACATCGGCAACAGAGGCTGCAACATTGCCACATCACCATCTGATTAGGGCTTAGTGACAGTAGTGACATCAGCAGTAGATAAAAGACCACGAGACAACAACAAAGAAAAGGAGAGTAGCAGCAACGTTAGAGGCAGTAGCAACAGTGGAAACTGGAGTTAAACAACAACAGCAGTGGAAATAGCAATTTACATCAGTAGCAGTCCATGGATACAGAACTAAATTGCAATAGAAATAGGGGAAGAAAATTATGTTTCTTCATTTGTTGTACATGTCGGTTATCTCCTTCGTGTGCTGTACGGAGAAAGTCGGAGGAATATCTCACGAAGACGAGAGTGCCGCAATTGTCCCCAAGAGATATGAAAATTGTAAAAGCGGCTGGTATGAGTGTTAAAAGAGTTAAGAAGTTGCATATGAGAGTTTGCAAGAAGTTCACAGTTTCTCCTGTTTCTGAACCTGAGCCGTACTTTGAAAGAACGACGAGTAGGGGGTTCAGATTTATGATGCTTTTAGTACTAAAAACAAAGAATTAGGCGGCTTGGATAGTTAGGGTATCATTCTTCTCATGGTCATGCGTGTTGCTTGGTTGGTGTGTGCAACCGACATGAGCGCACCGAGCGCTGGAAGAAGTGAGGGAAAGTTGTCGAAGTTGTTAAACAACCTTGTACATTCTCGCTTATCTCCAACGATGATTGTGACTCGCATGCCAGTGGAGAACTTGGTTGTTAGGGTTCGAGATATGGATACCTTGTTGGACAGAGGCGGTGAGCTGAACGATGAGATCGTGACCTTTTACTTGGCCCTGCTCATTAGGAACTGTTGTGTATCTTCTTCGAAAGTGTACAACTTTGTTTCTTTCTTTTTCACGAAATTGCTACTTCAGGGTTATAAAGGGATTACAAGATGGACGAAAGATGTCAACCTTTTCGAATATGACGTGTTGTTCATCCCTATTGACAAGGACAACGAACACTGGGCTCTTCTGACGGTAGATTTTAGAAAGAGAGTTGTAGAGTACGTTGATTCTTATTATAGTGCAGTGTGTGGAACTTCATTTGCTTCAACTGAGTATAGAGCAGTCCTGCAGTACCTGAATGAAGAGGCAATGATAAGAGCGTTGCCCCAAAGGTATGATAACATGAGATTCAAAGTTCTCGTCAAAGGAGTGTCAAGGCAGGTTGACGGATCCAGTTGTGGGGTTTTCATGTTAATGTTTGCTTCCTTTCTGGCTAGGGGACTACGTCCGTCTTTTCGTTTATCGAAGATTCATATACCCACTATCAGATGCAAGTTGGCATCCATCATTTGTTCTATAGGATCGCATATGTGTTGTGACTAGTTGAGGATACGTATAGTTTTGTCCATAGTTCACCAACGGCCCGT